GCCGTCCCGGGTCGGTCGGGGCAGGCGGCGAAGGTCTGTAGAACAACTTCGGAGCAAAGTCCGGGGAGCGCCGGCAACAAGGATTCGGGCATAAAGTCCACTTGGGTTTCAAGGGCCCAACGTTTCCGTGAGCGGAGAACGCGTTGTAGGGTCTTAAAAAAGACTCAGATGGGTGGCTGCTCTTAACAGCTTGGAAAGATAAACAGGGCCTGGCCGGGTTAGTACTTGGAACTGAGATGGGAGACCACCAGGAAAGTCCAACAGCGCAGACTAGGTTGGGAAGTTGAAAGCAAACATCCTGGTAGAAGAGAAAGGGAAACCCCTTCTACTGGTGCTAAGAAAATGACTTGGATACATCCAGGTAGTAATCAGAAATTGACCTGGAAATATCCCCAGTGTCCTTTATTGGGAATATTGAGATTTGCCCATAATATACTGTGTCTCTATAATGTCAAAACATCAGTGGAATCACTAGACAGAACCCCTATAAACTAAATAAAACCGTCTCTGCAATCTTACATCTTTTGATCTTATTGTTTATTCTGTAATGTTCCAATGAACAGTAGCATAAAAGATTTTTTTTTCTAGAACAATTCTGGTTTTGCATTTGGATAATTATGGATTCTTGTGGTTGAGATTTTGAAGTAAACATTTACACATTGGGCTATAACATTCTTCAAAAAGGAACGAAGTGTTTAGTGTGATAGTATCTAAATCCAAAGCAGTAATCCTGGGAGCATAATTGATGCTTGAAATATTTCTCTTCTGCTTCTGGTTTGTAAATAAGTCATTTGGATCTCAATGAGTCTTTCTGTAGTTTGTATTACAATGCATATAAAGTATTTCCTACCACTTGGTATAAATCATATCTTTACCAAGACAATGCTGGCTACAATCAAGCCAAACCATAATCTCTAATCTCTGCCATGTCCAATGCAAATGCTAGTAGTTTGTGTAGCAAAACTATAATTTTATTTGAAAGGCACCTAATCATTTTGATCGTACTGAACATAATAATTTTCTTGCTTTTCTGCTTTATTTTTTCCTCCAGGAGAGAACTGGTTAGTATTACAGTTTTTAGTCCCTGGATTCTGCCTGGCTTTCCAGGATTCTTTGTAAACCTTATATTTGTCAAATAGTTAATTCACATCGATTTATAACAAAGCATTACGAGCAATTCCTAACCTTTTGTACGCAGCTGTTTCTAAACAACGTGACAATAATTACCAAAGATTTTATTTCCTTTGGGTTCAAATTTCAACTCTACCATGGCTTTGTTGGGCCATTTTAGGCCAGTCATGCTCTTAATCTTAACTGCATGAAGCGGAATAGAATGGTGCAGCTGTTAAATACACTGCTCAGCGATCCTGGAGAGAAATATGTAGCGTATACAAAATGACAACATATATATGTTTTGCATCGATAATTTACAGCCAGTAAGCTACCATGAAAGTATAATAAAGTCTCCAAGTTGAACTGGATTCTGGGTGCCTGGATGGATACTGTTTGCCCAGCAACCGTAAGGAAGTAGTTTGGATATTTTTCAGCTTTGCCGTCTCCCATCCAAATCCTAACCAAGTGTGATCCTGACATGACATTTTTAAGATCTAAAAAAATTAAAAAGGAAATAAAAATCAAAGCAGAACTCTCAATCTATGAGTCACTTCCCTCTCCCCAAATAGAAGCAAAAGAACACGTGCAGAGACTAGAAAGTATTTTTTTAAAAAAAGAACCCTAAAAGAACACAGGAAGAAAAGTTAAAGAACTCCCACTCCAAGATAGGCTGTTTAAACAAGAAGTAGGAAGAGTGCTAATTTTTTTATCCTGTTGATCTCTCAAAGATTAATTTAGATAAAGTTTATAATAGTCATAGACCAGCATCTTAAAACGAATAACCTTATCCAACATAAGCTTATACATCAATATCCATCATCAAAGGAGTAAAGATATCTAAACATTGCAAATAAACTTCAAACAAATACAATTCCCATGGTTCAAGAAGTGTAAATCATATACCTGCATCAATCAATATCAAAGTAGCAAAAGTACAGATTGTAATTATTTAGTAATGTTCCCAGATTACCTTTTAGGCTAACTTTATCGGCAGTGGCACAAAATCTAGCCACCTCGTAAGTGATAACCACATCTCTATTGGCAAGCAGCAGAATCAGGTAAGAGAGATCTGATTCTCCTGGTTTATTTCTAAAGAGAGAAATGGTCATTTCAGTCCCCATTGTCATAGTATAATAAAAAGTACAATGAAAAGTGAGATAGTATCTCCACCTCCCTAAAGCCGCAGGGATACAAACATACTTTAAAAAGCATATTGTTAAATCTTCTCTCTGGCACAGATGTAGGGATGCATTGAGATATATTGGTGAAAAAACTCCGCAGTGCTTGAGGTTCAGTATGATCAGATCGGTATTTAGCTGACTGAATAAAATTCCTGAATCCTCCAGGAACAGTTTTTGTCTCAGGTCTATCCATCAATCATAATCCATTATACTTTGATGATAGAAAGGGTATCGTGCCCCAAAGAGAAAAGGAAAGTGTGGGACAGAACTTGTTACCTTCTTTTCAGCCATTAACTGCAGCAGAGGTCATGTCATACACGTCACACCTGCTGGAAGGAAACCCAATTTCAGTTCTAACTTAATCCTTCAGGGTCAAACTCATAATCAGACCAGTTTCTCGATGTAAAGCTGCGTTAGGGACCCAATTTGTTGTGGAGAATAAAAATGTGGGTCCCACAGAGGAGTTGGCCAAGGGATATTGACCTCAAAATACAACTAAGTATTTACATCTATGCACCTGATATGTCTGCTATGCATCTGTGTTTGCGTGGCCATTTGAAAACATCATGACCATGATTTTCTGCAGTTGATAATAGGACAGTCCTACCTATCATTTCTCGGCCTTTTAACTCACTTTAAATTTATCCAATTTCTTATTCCAAATGAAAAGGGATACAAATAGTCAATGAAAGCACAATTAATTTTATTTCTCATGATCTAGTTTTAATGATTTACTCACATATTCAACATATTTTAAAAAGTACATAATGTCCTGTTTTCCTGTTTGTGTTTCTAATTTTTCTTTTATTTATTCTTTTTTGCATAAAAATAAAAAAATTACTTCTGAGAAGACATGTAATAAAAATGGTGATTACAAAATTCAAAGAAAACAGATTTAGTAAGCACTGGGGTAGGCTGTTTTTTAAATACCCTTTCAGTTCTCACTAAGAAATGGATTTGAGTGAAATTTATCATCTTATTAGAAATTACTCAATCTGGAAAGAAACGTTAAAGTTATCCAAGGATCACAACATTCTTTATTATTAACAAGATACTATTACAAGACTATTAACGCCATATCCAAATAAACTTGAACTTCTGTTTTGTTTCAAAATTCATTTCTCATGATGAAAGTTTACAGTGAATGAACAAGCAATCTCTGTGCAAAAGAATTGGACACAATCTGACATACGTACAAAATTACAATATTCCAAAACCTAAATCAGGAACATTTCTGTTTTTCAGGCCACTTCCTCATTGATCAGAAGAATCTGATTGTTGAGCAAATAATTTATTAGAAAACTTAACACCATTTCTTACAGATTAAATAGAAATCAGAATTTTTTATTGTGCCACATGTTAATCAAATCATCGGTGTAAGAATATACTGTATGCACCACATCTAATCACAGATTTAATAACAGTCAGTGTCTAAAGATAATTCTGCTTTTTAACCACCCTTTTATTATTCCCTATTAACTCCTCTCTCAGGACCATTATCCACGTATTGGATGAAATGGATTATAATCCACTAATATTTATGCAGTAATCAACCAACTAGTCTTTAAGATGCTGTTCCCTGCTGGTAAAATTGCAGTCTTAAAAGCCATAAAAAAGATAAGCTAAGACAGTAATGAAGAAAGTTCACAGAACTTTTGACATTTTCAAACTACATGTCCTCAAGATGTATCGGACCCAATTCTAAATGACTTTAGCTTTGCCGGCTAAGAATTATGGAAACTGAAGTTTGGCACATCTAGGTTGGGGAAGCCGACTCATCCCTAGGCTTAAATCAACATATGCTGTGGTTTGTCTTCTAAATTTTACTAATATCTAAATGACAATATTTATACCTTGAAAATTGACTCACTGGTTTCAAAAGGTATTTGGCCCTTGCACCTGAGATCAAAATATTGAACGTTGAGTCAGAATTTGTCCAAACCTGATGAACTTTTAAACACTTCAGAAAGGGAATTAAATATCTGGTCATTTTAGTGAGGACTTTTCCCTCCGAGTCCTGGAGGGCATAGTGCTGTCTCAGGTTGCCTGATCACTCCGATCTCTAAAAGCCTTCTTTGGACTTTAGAAGTTTGATTAGTCTTTGCCAGCTTTTGCTGCCCGTACAAGGAAAGTATAAATTACACAAATATGTAGCTTTGGATCATTTTCTTCAATAAATAAATGAACAAGTATCATGTTTTTTACTCAATTGTTTAATTGGGTTCCCTTGATCTAGTTTTAGGTCTTGTGTGGAGAACAGATCACATTTTAGGTCATATTTATGGAGAAATATTTAAATTCAAAAAGGTTCACAAACTTAAGCACAACTGTACACACACATACACAACCTATTATTGCTTTTAGGGGTATTTTTGAAAAATGTCCAGAACCATGAAGGAAGTGGGTGGTATATAAATGGTGTAGATAAAATAGCTATGCACAAGAAAGTGTTGTATTTTGGTGTCTCTGCTGCAACATCTAGCAGATACAAAAACCAAAGAGAGTCATATTTGAAAGTGCCACCTAAATTCCTTGATGTATTTTGAGTTTGAAAAGTCCTTTTGGAGAATAAATGACATTTTTCTTTCTGACAAAGCATGTTTGTGCATGTGGAATTAAAAGAACCAATTGCTTTCAGACTGAACATGCATGCTGATTCTTTCTAGGCAATAGCAAGCCACTTCCAAAAAACGTTGCCAGGAACACTGCAGGGACTATTCCAGGCAATTGCCAGGAGTCAACACTGACTCGAAGGTACACGTGCATGCACGCGCGCACACACACACACTAACCATAATGCAACAATAGAGACATAATGATTGCAAAGGGCAATGGAGGAAAGCCTGGCTGGAATCCTTAAGTTGTGACTGCAAGAATAAAACGCCAGGTTTTGACCTGGATCCAAAAAGCAAGCTATGTTGGTGTCAGCTTGGCCTTTAAAAAAAGGGTATTCCAAAGCCAGTTGGCATGATACAGAAAGTCTCTTTTGCATCGACATATAACACATCTTTTCCAACTGTGAGGCGTGGAGAACCTCCTCTGCAGATTTTATACCTAAGCTTTTAAAATGAAGTGCTACAGATCATGGAAATAGTCCTCTGGTGGACAAAGGTAAAGTTCCAAGCTGAATTTGTCTTTATGGGTATGTTCGTGCCATTGTTGTGTGACAATATGAAAGTGGTTGCCATTAAGTTCTCCTAGGAAGTTCTAGATTTTCTGGTGGATTCCCATCTGAAGTACTCTGCATAACTTTCAGAGATCAGCCAAAGTCAGCCCTTGTTGGCAAGAAAACTACAATCCATGTAATCAGCCTAAAGGTGCTTTTACCGATGGAGACCAACATTTATAAAGAACACGATCTTTATGGTCTGAATAGTTTGAGGCTCTGCATTTTATCAGATGCCTTTTTCTGCTTGCAATTTCATAAGCTTCAGAGTGGGGGACACCATTTCTTTGTGTGTATTCTTCTGGAATTCCAAGCAAGAATTTATGAGACCAAATCCATTTTCTCTCACTTCTCAGCCCTCCATGCACCAATTACCTTTAGGAAAAGAAAAGGACAAATTTATGGTATGTGTATGGGTACACACACACACACACGTTTCTTAAAGCAGATTGTTAGGCAGGGAAATGGCAAAGAATGGAGCCACTACATCCACTTTGTATGTCAAGGCTACCTGCCTTACACCCTCAAAATGGAAGTCTGACCCATTAGACTTTTAATCTCTCTCAGTCCTTGGTGTCAGAAGAATGCTCTGCTGGTTTTTAATATTGAAGAGATGGCAGCTTAGCTACCCCCCCCCCTCAAAGAATAGCCAACTGGAAGTAAGGAACCTCTGATACTTGTACAAAATCTCTTACTGCTGAGTAAAATTGGCTGACATAAGGAAATGAGGATCTTCCTACATGAAAGAGAGAATAGAATCAAATGCCCTTCATTATGAGAAATTCCCTCAGGGATATTAGGATCAAGACATTTCAATTTATTAATCTTCATGAACTAAGAGTTGAACAGTGAGGTAGTCAGATCTGTTTGCCATGGCAAATCATTCAGGACAAAATGAACAAAAGACTGGAGAATTCAAAAATAAAATGGAAAGTGGTTTAATGTAGGCATCAGTGATGTATATTGGATCAAAAAATCCTATCTATATAGAGACAGTTGGCAGCTTGGCTGTAGTACCAGTTAAGAAAGGAAGCTTGGAGCTGATTCACTGAGAAAGTTGACTTTGAGTATGGAAACTGTAAAAACGGTTAATTCCATAGGAAAGTGCAATTAAGAGGAAGATGGAAAGCGAGCCTGGTATTATCCTAACACTTCCGGGCAAATCTATAGTACGATTGTACTTGGAATATTGTTATTTGCCTGGCTGCAGCACTTTAGAAAGGGTATCATCCAAATAGGATAGGTTTAGAGAAATGCAGTTAAAATGCTTAAACAGGATAGAGCAATTTCAGTACAAAAGTCAAAACATCTGGCGAAATAGATGACTAAGAGGAAGGGGAGGGGGTCTATTAACTAACATGAGGGGGAGAAAGGGGTGAGAGAAACACTACATTCTCACCAGAATATAGGCTCTTCCAATGAAGCAAAATAGTTCTTCTGTCCCTCACACAGAAACACTGAATTTTACTATTTCAGTATAGGACAACGGTCACCATGTTAATTATTTACCATAATTAAAACAGGATAGGACAAATATTTGAACAAAAGGCTAGTGTAAATGGCCACCACTAAGTCTCTATGCAACCTCCACCTTAGTGGCTGGTGAAAAACATGAAGAAACTATTATTTCACTTTATGTTTGTGAGATCCTCATAGGAACTCATGTGGGATGCTGAATGATAGACAACTCTGCTCAGGTCCTGTGGGACTGCTAACAGCTTTGAGAAGCCAAAGTCTGCCGTTTTCATTGGTATGAATCAGTGTTTTTCAAACATGGCAACTTTAAGATGGGTGGACTTCAACTCCCAGAATTCCCCAGCCAGCAAGTCTGGCTAGGGAATTCTAGGAGTTGAAGTCCACCCATCTTAAAGTGGCCAAGTTTGAAAAACACTGGTAGAAATGTTATTTTATCTGCCCATTTTTAACCTGTTGCTTTATAATATTTGTTTTAGCTGTGTCTGGTATTTTATCACGAAAGTTTTATTTGAACTGCATTATTGTATTTTCTTATTATAAGTTGCCTTGAAGCTGGAATTTATTTATTCTATAAATGAATAAATCATCCAACTACAGAAGTCAGATTCTATTATCACTGAATTGGTAATTTATTCCACTACATTTTCTGCATAACACACAGTTAAACATTACACTTAAAAGGATGCTTGTTTGAAATCACTATTTGTCAGTAATAAAAAAAGTGCAATAAGAAAAATAAGGTGACTTGAAGATTTATATGCCAAATGATTTTGGCAAAATCTGCTCTATATTTTTAATTGCCCACTGTACAGTACAGAAAATTAGATTTCCTACAATTGAAACTCTGTCACCAAACCAGCTTATGCCATATGGGATTTGCTAAAAATTCCTTTTCCACCCAGATATTGCTCAATAGCTGCTAATTAAAGATTAAAGGATTGCTTGAGAGTAACACCATTTGCCATTATGAGTAAAGAATATAAGTGTACAGGGGAAATTGATGAAGGGAAGGCATTTAAGAAACTATATAAACTATTTTGAGTCATTCTGTATTGATTTCCTACATTCACTTTTCAATATTTATCTATTCCCAAGTGGAGAAATATAGAATATGAACTGAAATACATAGGAACCTCCATATATGTTGCTGCAATTTCTCTAAATATGACGACTCCCTCACATGTGAAACATTTGTGTGTTAAAATTATAAAATCACAATTTAAGGACAGATTTACAATGTGCAAGAGTGCATACCAAATTATTGCATATCAGAAAAACAAAGAACACACATGGGCATCTTCATTCAAAAGAGCCTGTTATATGCATGGAATCTTTCAGAATAAATAATTTACATATTTCAGATTGCTTTTTTAAAGGTAGCCATTCTTTCTTTAAAAACTGTAAGCACAAAAAAAAGTTCTTATTGCAAAGATGTCTGTTACAATCTCTTTAAGACATTTTTATACATAAAAACCCAACCAGATGTAGAGTACAGGTATCCTTCATTATGCTAGCTTCCTGAAGAGTCAGAAACATTTATATGTGCAATTGTCAGGAGGAGGTATTTATATGATCTATTATCATGATGTTAGAACAGACACATTTTACATTATACTGGAATTAAACACTATGATATCACTTTAGATGGAAAACAAACCCTTTTAAACTTAGTGGTAGTTAATAGAAAGGTCACTACCAGATTTAAATGCTTTGTACTCACCCCCCCAGTGGCTTAGGCATAAAAGTTAGAAAGTCATCCACTTGCACAAGAGCAATACAAAATTAAATATTTATTCAAATAATAAGCTTAAGTTCAGGCTGCAAAGTTGGCAACGTAGATTTTAAACACATCACAAAAGCGTGCACAAGAATGTATGCTGAGCAGAGAACAAAAATACTAAGCATTATACTAGACAGCTGCTGATTTTAAGAAAAACAAAAATATATAATAATCACTATACAAAATATAAAATGTATTAAACACTACCATCCACAGAACAGGTTTTTTTTAATTGGTTATATTTAAAAATTATTTGTGTAATTATATAGTGAATTGTGAATGATTATACAATATCCTCCCTTCAGCTGGCGATACTTTGTTGCTCTACAGCACATCCAATCACGTTGAAAACTGAGCATCATCATTTATACCATCAATAAAAGGAAATGATTATTGATAATACAAGTAAACATTGTCTGAGCTACGAAGAACAAAATTACTCTTTTCCTTCAACTCTGAAGTGCCTTCCATGCGAAGCCAGCACTTGTGTGTTTCAGTTAACAGAATGTACTACCAAGCAAAGTCCAACGCTGTAGATTTTAATGGAGAAGACTAAATTTTATAAATCAAAGACTGAATGTAGACATGCAACCCTCTTTGCTTCTGGGTAAAACCCCTTGTGCATCACTTATCAAATTTATTGCCTTTTGGAATTTCATTCAAGGCATCCAAAATTAGAGCTAATGATAAATATACATATAGCAAAAAAATAAAAAATAAAAAAGGACAAACTGCATTTGATACCACTATTGGTAATGTCTGTGCTACGTGAAAGCACCTTTTAAAAAAGAGCCTATGCGGCAAGAGATAAGTGTCTAAAGATTCAAAATGAATCAACAGTATTGGATAACAATATAATTCTCAACTCAGAAGCTGCCTCAAGATTAGGTGCATCTTCAGTTAATGTAACAGGAAAAAAAGGCAATGGTTTTTATTTTATTAAACTCATTCACTCCAACTGACCTAAGGCCACCAGATTTGCAGACACAATGTGTTTCTTCTTCTCTTTATACAGTTCTTTAGGCTGTAAGATGATAAAGGAATATATCTATTTTTTAAAAAACTGAAACAAAAAAATAACTATTTCATCTAGATTAAGAAGTTGCCCCAGGTGTGGGGTTTACGTTCTGAGTGGCTACTTGGGGCGCAACTTCAATGATTCGAGGTTTGTCTATAATTCTGGCAGTACGATTGCCCTTTTCTACAATCCCAATAATCCATGCTTGGTGACCTTCACCATATTTTGGAGACTTGATTTCAGCGCAGAAACGTGCTGCCTGTTCACGTGGTAAGCAAATAAGGAGGCCTCCTGCAAGGAGAAGGAATGGCATTAGCACCTATTGACATATCAAATCAAAAACTGCTGTCTTGCTTATGTAGATTTTAACTATTATCTACTAACTAAACTTATTTGTGGCTTTATAAAGTGAAGAAATAATATCCTTCAGCACAAATTATGATGTCACTTTTCTTCATGGCCGAATACAAATAATTATTTCCAAGAAATCTTGCAAATGTCTTTATGCGTCATTTCAAAGAAACACTAATAATACTCTTAAAATTATCAGATAGGAACATGACAGTTTAAAGCTAAAATCTGTCTATGTGTTTGAAAGCCTTTGGAATTAACAGGAACTTGTTATAAACAAATCATGCCAGACTAGAGTAGTAGATCAGGTACTGATCAGGTACCTGGGCCTCAGCAAAGCCTTCAACGTAAGATTCTCCTTAATAAAACAACACACTCTGAGTTAAAAGCACTCCTTAATGGCTTTGCTTCAGCTTGGAGGCAAATTCTGAGTGGAATGCCACAGGGTGCTGTGCTACTCCACATTTTTATCAATGAGTTGGATCAGGTATGCAGATGACCCAAAGCTGAGAGAAGTGGCTGATGATATTTTGGAGGAGAAACAGGAAATTAAAAAAGATCTAGATGGGGCTTCAGTAGAGAGTTGAAATGAATAGGATGGAACTGAACAGGAGAAATGTAAAGTGAGCCACTAGCGTGATGCAGCTGCTAAAAAAGCAAATGCTACCTTGGGGTGGGATTAATAGCACCATAAAGTCCAAATCATTGTAGGTAATTGTTCCATTCTACTTTTCCCTGATTAAACCCCATTTGGAATACTTAGGTTGGGTTCTGTGCATAATAGTTTGAAAAAGACAGTGACAAACTGCAGCAAATTCAGAAGAAGGCCAAGGTGAGTAGTATGGAAACCAAACCCTATCAGGAAGAAAGGCAAAATGCCTATGGTATATTTTAATACCCATTCCTAATTGATATAATTTAATAGAATTTAAATTTATAATTTAAATATCATTTAATATCAATGCCTATTCATCCAGGAAGCACCTAATTCAAAGGACCATAAACTATTACTGATCAATTTACTATTACAGCTTAAAATGCAAAGCAACATAACTCACAGAGTGTGAGAAATAGGTAGTAATTAGGAATACATAGCAGAATTTCTGACTTGCACAATAGTACTTTTTATGTGGATGTTGCCAAGTCCACATTCATTGAACAGTCAGACAGAGATTTCTTCAGCACAGGTTTGCAATACACACGCTGGTTGTTTTGTGCTCTCTGGAGAAACAGCACCATCTACTGACCATTTATAAGAATCTCTAAGGAACAATTTTGGTAGAAGCACCATGACTACTGCAAGTCAAGGAGATCCTGAGATAATATATTGCGCACATTTTCTTTTCGCAAGTCTTCTATTTGCAATAGAACAAAGGGGCTTGAAGACAGTATCTTTCATTATGAACATTCAGTTGATCTGAAAGGTGATTATTTTTTACACGTATTTTTCATACACTGGAAAGCAAGAAATTGGCTTCACTGGGAATTCTACCATTGGAACAAGCAAGAATGGCCAGGAACAAACTTGCTAGAAGTTTGATAAGGAAGCACCAATATTATTCCAGTTAGTAGGAATCACAGGCTGAACTACACACACAAAAGGCATTAGAGGCTCCGGCATTTCACTGGCATTGTGGATTACACATTGTTCACTTTTATGTAGCTATTTTCATGTCATCTTCAATCTTCAATCTCAATTGTGCCTGTTAATTTATTGCTGTGCAACCCGAAAAGCTTCTGCAAAGAAAATCTGGATGTCTTTTATCATCAAATAGATGGCTGAGGGGTAACGTTCACATTTCTTCAATGCATGGTAGGCTCTCAATGTCATGTCGCGCAGATGCATTGAGTTTTCTGCCCACTTGACACTGAACAATTTTTGCCAAGGGAATGAGACCGTGGGGCCTTTATGATAACAGAATGAGGAGGGTTTCTGTCTCTGTGGATGTTAGCTGCCTAGACACTTTGCTCCTTTAAGCTTTGGCCAGATGTAGGAAGCTACAAAGCACTAATGAGGACTGGCATGGCCATATATTCTGAAGACCAAATCTTGAAGCAGCTGGTATGATCACTGGATTTCAATGTCAAGAGAATGGTCACAGGTGCTATCTGTTCCAAACAGACATGTTTTCAGAGAGGGAAACTGGTGTGATCTCCCCAGGGTTTGTGTCTAGTGAGATGATAGACAATTTTTCTCATTTGGAGGATGAGGCAGCTGATTCATATTCTTCTCCAGAGGAGGAGGGGGTCTTATTGGAGAGTTTAAGAGCCACTGTTGTAGACATGGTTATCAGACCATGAGAAAGCCCGCTACTGATCTCAAGCAGTAGTACTGGAATAAAGAGGAGCATAGGATTGGTCCAGGGTGGAATGCCCAAGGATCAAATGACCATCAGTTCTGGCCAGAAATCTCAAGTCTCCAGTCTAGAGACACGGGATGGACTTGTGGACAGCAATTTCCACTGTCTGTATGGTGTCAGATGCCATGGAATCTGGTACCAATATATCTGAGAGTTTAGAGTTTGGAGAAAGAGCCCTTCCAGTTTGCAGAAGATAATCCATAATCAGCGCAAATTTAATGAATGGCCTGCTCTTATTTTTGCCCTCTGAAATGGAATCCATTGGGTATGAAGCCCATTGAGAAAATGGAGCTGGCTGCAATGGGGGGGGGGGGGCTCTCTTGGACCTTACAAAAAGAATGGTGAGAGGTTGAATAATATGTGCTGAAGCATAATCTTAATGCTTCAGACACTTGCTTCTAGCAGACAGCTCACAGAATCTACATGGCTGGATAGGGTGCTCTGTTGTAGACAAGACAGAGCACATATATACTGTATGCAGATTTGCATGTTGAAGAATAGAGAACTCAAGACTGTGTGTGTGTGTGTGAGACAGAGAGAGAGAGGATGCATGTATGCCTTTTCGAGTTAGCGGACATTGGATCATTCTTAGAAGTGCTTTGCCAGCTTTAGCTCTTCCAGAAGGTGGTGTGATAGCAGAGTTTACTACATGGCCTGATGAGACTGACAGTTTATAGTTTCCCCATATGCCTTTTCATAGGTATTTTCTTCATTTTGTGCTTTGGTTTAATTCAGTAGGAGTTGCTGAAGCAAGATACCACATGATCAATCCATTCAGAGTCAGAGGGGCCTGCAGAATAGTCAGTGCTCTTATCTGTCTGTTTCTTAATCCAAAAGCCCATGGGAGGGACTTTACATTTATAAACCAAAGCAGCAGTTTTAGCAACATGAAGCATCTGCTGTTGGAAAAATGCCTTCAGTCAAGGTAACTGGCTTCTTCTGGCCCCTTTGGCAGAATCTTTAGCTCTGGAACGTTCTGAACAAGGTTATTGTGCAGATATAGAACCCATGTTTGATTCCTAGACCCCAGAATGAAGAATTGGTTAAATAATACAGTACAAAAACCAGGTAATATCTCAATGCTTCCTCTATACCTTTCTGTGTAATGTAAGGGACGGAGGGGGAGAAAAAGACTGAAAAATTAAAAAATCTTTTACCTGATGTCTCAGGACAAGTCCCATGCATAAGACCAAACATATTCCCACATGCTTTGCTAACAGCAGCCATTTTGGCAAGAACAGGGAGATTATGTATAACGAAAGACACCTCATTACGTTGCTGCTTTGCTAGATTTTGTGCATGTCCCAGGATTCCGAAGCCTGTGATGTCTGTAGCTGCATGAGCATTAAACGTATGCATGAGCCCTGCAGCTTGAGATGGAAGAGAGGAGAAAAATGTTATGCAACTTCAGAATTCAGCCTCTCAATATTAAATCAGAGTTTAAATTTACATAATTTACAGTTCCATTCAAATTAGATTAACAACAGTAAAATAACGTTAAACTTCTTCAAGAGGAAAAACATACATTCCCACATACAGATGATCCATTCCTGATATATCCAAATGGTTTTACCAAAAGGTATATCATCCCATCTCAGAATATTTATTTTTATAGATACAAATTTCTTTCCAATTGCTGTTAGAGTGTGCTATCCCTGAATTTTCTGATAATGCATATAGCAGTGATGTTTTTCCAAACGTTTTTCCCAATTACAATGTGAACTGCTGTATTTTCTTACTTGGAAAATTGTATGGCCATTCCTGAGATATAGAGTGCATTTGGAAAGCATTCAGACCCCCTTCACTTTTTTCAATTTTGTTATGTTGCAGCCT